CATTCTGGGACAGGCTCAGACAAAGTATTAAACTTGGAGCAAGCTTAACTCATAGCCGAAGAGAAAAAAGGTACATCAGAATTTTTTTAAAAAAATCCATTGACAATGTGTGCCATCCTGACAGCAATGGAATGGGTGACCAGAGAAGTGATGGTAGACTGGGCATGGAATGGTTAGCAGGGACCTCCTGACGGCAGAACCATGAGGGATTCTGTACGATTGAGCAGAGGCTGTCTGAGTGTGAGATGTGAGCTAGGTTAGTGCAAACTTCCGGGACTAGAATGAGGAATTCCTGTGGGGAGACAGGCCTGCAGCATCTCTTCCAAACAGACTTTTAGTCAACATTCATTAAGAGAAATCCTTTTAAAAATGAAATAAGAAAATTACATCCTTTCTCTCTTTTCTATGGATGGAACTGAACCGTGACCTGATAATAACACTGAATTTGTTTGCATTTGAATCTCTTATTGTGTCTCAGAGGCTAACAGAAAAGTGGGTGGTGTGACTCCCCCAGCCACTGTGTAGGAGAACGCTGTGGCCGTGGTGATGCCACGAGGATCAGGATCCCCAATACAGCAGCTCATGTTGTCGCCCACCTCACAGCACCCCAGCAGGGCCGGCCTCCTGTACCAGATCCGAATCAGGATCCCCAATACAGCAGCTCCTGTTGTCCCCCGCCTCACAGCGCCCCCGCAGGGCCGGCCTCCTGTACCAGATCCGACCGCACCCTCGGTCATGGCCATTATCAGATTTAATCATAGAATAAAAACAAATAGAGTTGTGAATGGCTTAAATATCATACTTAGCCTATATGAGCACTACCAAAATTGTTTTGTGAATCATTCTACACTTAATTATAACATTAATAACAACTGAGTTGGAACCGGTTTCATTTTTCTTTTTCTCCTTTATTGCTACTTCATTCTCCAATCCTACTTATCACAATATTGTAGCTAAAACACTGGACAGTTTGACAAAGTCTGACTTTAAAAACATGGACGGAAATGAAATCAACAGTGCGTGTATGTAGCAAGGGCGGACAAACCACGTGATTGGAAGTAGCTTAGAAAGTGAGTAATCATAACTGTGACCGAACTGCCTTACAAGGTTCAACAATTAAATTAGCACAGGGCTTTTGCTTTCTAGGAATCTTGGCACATGTAAGTCAAACTGACAAATAATAATATATTTTAAAATATTAAATTAAATTATTTAATAAATTAAATCATTACTATTAAATTAAAAATTTAAATAAACTGATCAAAATTATATTTTTGTTTATAACTTTACAGGGATATTTTTGTAAAAAATAATACCTGTGTTGTTGAAACCCTGAAAAGGAATTTTATAGCCAGTCATGTGGTGTCGCCCTCTGTCAATATTACCTGTCTGCCCTACCTTTTCAGGGATACTATTCTGTGGCAGCCAGCTGTTGTAATTATTAGAGCCTTGCCAACCCTAAGTAGCAATTCAACTTTGTCGTTTAGGGGCTCTGTGAGTCAGAATTGACCCCACTCCATGGAAATGGTTATATCCGTATCTATTTGGTAAACATTGAGGATACATTCTTGGATATAATTATGAAGCATTATTCAAATGCATGTATGTTTACTGACTTTGTATTGATGATATGTCTTCTCTTAATCCCTTCTTTCTTCCCTTCTTTATTTCCATTTTGACACTTCCTTTGTTCAGATCTGAACAAAAACTTCTGGGTAGACAATTAGCCATTTCAAGTGGAAGTAACAGCATAGTTTTCAGGGAGCAGGATGCATTAACCCCTTCATGATCTTAGTCATAGCAACCCTCAGTTGTCCAGGTTGGTCTGTCCTCAGGGCTGGTGATGGTGACGGAACCTGCTGTAACTGTGCAGGTCATGGAGGCTTGATACAAACACTCAACACAGAGAGATATGGTCATTCTGTGGGCTCTTCAAGTGCTTCGTGGACTGGGAGCTACTGCAAGTTTGCCAAAAGCAAGAGGCTTGTATATTAGGTGATAGTAGCTTGTTCGACTAGGACTTTTGTGCTTGCATCTGGTGTCTTCCTTGGCAGTTCGTGTACTGCACACAATCAGATGAGTCTAGCAGGTGTTCCACTGTTCTGAACTCCCACCCATAACTGGGTACTGGTCGGAGTCCGGAGTCAGGAGCAGCTGGGTGGGAGAAGGCTGGGCATCAGGAAGGACGTGGAGGCTGCTTGACTGACCATTAAAGACAGAGCAAATATAGGAGGGCTGCCACATTTACAGAGAAAGCACCTGATACTTCACAGATGTTTAAAAAGTGTGTGTAAAAACCCACAATAACTGAATAAATCTGGACTCATCTAAGAAAAGACTTGATTTGAAGAGCCTTTTACAATAGGGAGGCCCTGCCACCTCCTGACCTGCAAGTATCTCAAAGTCAAGGCACAAAAGGCTTTCCTTTTACAGGGAAAAGTAAAACAAGACCAGCAAGATGGAGTGTGGGGGAGAAGTGTCAGCAGGTGCGATGATAAGAGTAACTTAACAGGAAGTGTTTGTCTATTTGTGGTGTGTGTAGGTGTGTGTGTGTTTGCAACAAGCTGATTGTCTCAAGGGGATGTCCGGGGCAGTGGTTTACTACCTCCCAATGCTTGTTTAATCTCTCCAATTTTGCCTAAACTCAAGAGCGTGTCAACATTCAAGGAACTGGGGGCAGGCGAGAAGCCAGACTCACGGTTGGTCCAGTCGTCAGGCATTTCTTTACACTGGCGGTGATGGTCTTAAGGTTTCATCAAGTCAGTGCAGACTCAAAGCAAACCCATGTATGGCAGAAAGAAGCACTGGCTGCTCCTCTGCCGTCATCGCTGTCGTTGTTACACGTGTCCCCATTGCTGCAGCCACTGTGTCAAACCCATCTCATCCAGGATCTTCCCCTCTTTTGATGACTCTCGACTTTACCAAGCATGAGGTTCTTTTCCAGGGGCTAGTGTCTCCTAATCACTCACTGTCATTGCATTGATTCTGACCATAGGGGAGAGGGTTTGACTGCTTCCGTGGGTTCCTGAAGCCGTAAATCTTTACTGGAGTAGCCTCATCTTTCTCCCATGGAGCAGCTGGTGGTTTGCAACTACTGACCTTGTGGTGAGCTGCCCAGTGCTTAACCCAAGTAGGTGATATAAAGTCTTGCCATCCTTGCTTCTAAGGAGTATTCTTTTTCTCTTTTTGAAACAGTACTATTGGCACACAATCCACACATCATACAACTCAGTTACATCATATCCAGAAGAGTGAACAATCACAATCGATTTTAGAACATTTTCTTCTTTTTTATACTCACCTTCATTAGCCTACCTTCCCCCCCCTCCCACTTCCCCTGCCAAATCCTTAAGAAACCAGTAATCTAGTTACTGTCTCTCCAGACTTACCTATCCTGGATTTCATGTACAGGAAAGCAAGCCGAAAAAAGGAGTGAAAAAATTAACAATAACAGAATAAAACCTCAATTGAAAAGTATGTAGAAATATTAAAAAGTAAAATAAACTTAAAATGGACCAAAAGAGAGATCAAATGATGAAGTTAAATTATAACCTAATTGCATCTGCAGTGATCCACTTTCCAATGGCTCTGCGTGGAAACAAGACTATTTACATCCCGGGTGACGGTCAGAAAGGGAGGCTTACTCCACGTTCATGTTCCCTTTACTGTTTTTACACTGAAATAACTTTAAAATGAGTCAAAGGGGATTTTAAATAAGATATTACATTTGACCTAAATAGATTTACCACAACCACCTTTACAACAATGTCTGTCTGATAACCAGGCTGTTCATAATTCTCAACTGTAGTCAGAGAAGATTCACCCTGAGGTTCCAGCTATATGTGAGTTCTGCAAAGGGATTTTGACAGCCGCTCTTGTCTGTAGCCTTCTACAAGCCAGGTGTTCACAATTTAAGCTCTGAAACCCTTCCCTCCTTTGGATTTGGACTATGTGATTTATAAGCATTGGGTCACACAGGCTGGTGTGCTTCTTCCATGTGAGTTTAGTTGACACCTCATTTAGATGACTGCTTGTTTGAATACAAGTTTTTAATATCCCAGATGCTATGCTTTCTGATATCTGGGTGCCATCTACTTTCTTTGCCATACTTTGTTATAGTACCCATATCTTCAGTGATCCGAAGGAGCATGCTGACTGTCCTTCCAATATAGATTTTTGTTCTTCTTACATTCCATAGTACTTTCAATATTTTCATCAACACCGTCATTCAAAAGCCCCCATTCATCTTTGGGCTTGCTTATTTGTTGTGCAGTGTTCACAGGCATCTGAGGGGGTTGAAAATACAATGGCGTGGATGTGGTGCACCTGAGTCCTCAAAGTGACATCACTTCCCTTCAACACTTTAGAGAGCGCTTGTACAGCAGATTTCCCCAGCGCACTACGCCATTTTGCTTCTTGAGTGCTGTAGTATGAGCACTGATTGTGGATCCAAGGAAAATGAAATCCTTGACCACTTCAATGTTTTCTCTGTCTATCATGATGTTGTCTATTAGTTTAGTAGTGAGATTGCTTTTTCTTCTTCTTTACATTAAGTTGTGATCCATACTGAAGACTGCGTTCTTTCATCTTCATCAGCAAGGGCTTCAAAGCCTCACTTTCAGCCATCCATGTTGTGTCCTTCAAATCTCAGAGGTTGTTGATCAGCCTCTTCCAATCCTGACGTCAGTTTTCCTCACATGGCTGAGTTTATCCAAATTATTTGCTCATCATATACATTGTACAAATATGGTTTAAGGATACCACCCTGACACACCTTTCCTTATTTCAGACCACAGAATATTCCCCTGTTCTGTTTGAACTAGTAGGTAGGAACTAACAACAAACAAAGAAAAGCTTGACATTTTGAAGGAATTTGTTATAAGTAAGCGAGGGGATAACACATGAATCTTGTCGAAGTCTGGTGAGAAGGCTGTTTCTTTTGTAGTAAGCTATTTCCTGTGATGCAAGGGAAGGGGAATTCTTGTTTTGGGGGAAAGAAGGGCACAGATCAAGTTCAACATGGGCATATTTGTGTTACACGGTGAAGGTCATTCACCCTAGAATCTAGACTGGCTTTTGACAGCTACCCTTCCAGAGAGCTAATTGAATATAATAATAAAGATTGCAATGGGGATTCTACACTTTTCTGATCTCTGATAAGCTCTTTGAGATTATTACAGAGTTTCTTTTTTATTTTATGCTTTTGAATATTTAGAATTATTGTTTGTGTTCTGTCTGGGCTAGCCCGTATTGACAGTTCTCTCTGCAGCATTGAAGAGGCATGTGTTTCTAGCCTTTGTCATGTATTTATGTGAGGAAACCTCTCAGGTAGCCTAAACTATCATGTGTTCAGAGCCTATTTATTCTCAAAGCTCATTTTTCTTTGCTTCCTTCTCGAGGTCTCAGGATATTCAACTTCTCCTATTCTCTCTAGTTAGTCTTTCTCAAAAATAGAGAATACAGTTCTACTACCTCCACAATGGGAAAAGAAGACCATAGGAAGATTCAAAATAAGATTTTGTCATTTGGTGCAAATCTACCTGAAGGGAAGAAATGAATGGAAACCCTAACCAATTAAATGATGCTGATTGCTATATCTCAGGGCCCTAACACATCAACACAGGGTGTTTTGGTTTTATTTTGTTAATTTTGGGGGAACACCTAGGAGACAGTGAATAATTAAAAAAAACATTACGGAATTATCATTTCCTTGAATAACTTGCCCTTATTTTTGCCATGGAGTTTTATCTCACATGAAGGACTTACTTAAATATTAGAACAGAAAGAGAATACACTGAGAAGTCTCCCTCCCATGTTGCTCAATTATTTCTTGCCGTGTGGGTCATGAGTTGATTCTGACTTACAGTGACCATGAACAGTGACAGAATCAGACTACCCCAAAGGGATTTCTAGGCTATCATCTTTACAGAAAGAGATGGCCAGGTGTTTTGTCCCAAAGATTCCTGGTGAGTTTGAACTATCAACCTTTTGATTGACAGTGAACTATTGAAAGATTGTGCTAATTAATTATCCTTCCAGAAATATTTTATTCACATATGAAGAGTTTCCAAAAGTTAGTGGACATACGGAATGAAAATATACTAGATTTTTGCATGAACATTTTAGAGCTCCCTTGTACAAGCAAATATATTTTCCCAATTTATGCATGGATTATGGAATGGAGAAAGATGAGGCTTTCTACTCCCATACTGAGTTACAGTCTCAGAAATTCACAGGGGCAGTTCTACCCTGTTCTAAAGGGTCACCATGAGTTAGAATTGACTCAATAGTAGTGAATGTGAGGGGGTTTTGTGTTTGCTTTTTGATATACACTATTCTGCCTTTGATTGTTTTTCACCTAATAATATTTATCTTTGAGTTCATCCATATGAGATGGAGATGTATACTCCCCTGCTTGTGCATGCACATGCACGTGTGCAGACACAGGCGCACACACACCCCTACAGTGGCTCCGTGTCCTGTAATTCATCTGGTCTGCTACCGGTGGGCATTTGATTTTTTCCTGCTCATTTGCTATCACAAAGGATCCTGTGATGAATAATTGTGCAGGTAACTTTTTCTCTGTGTGCATGCATAGAAGAACATTTTCTAGGAGTGGAATCTCTGGGTCAAAGTATTATGCCTTTGTTATTTTCATCGAGTTTGCTAAAATGTCTCCATAGAAGTTGTACTCATTTTCACTGTCAGGAGAATAGCAGCAATTATGAAGATAGCTCAGGACCACGCAGTGTTTCATTGTTTAACATAGGGTCACTATGACTCAGAACTAATTTAATGGCACAAAAACAATTGGTTGGGTATGGAGAAATTAATATATTGTGACAAGTGAAAAAATCCTTTGTAAATCAAAGATGTATTGGGACACAGCCACACTCATTTCTTTACCTATTGTTTATTACTCTGTCAAGGTACAATAGCAAAGTTGAACAGTTGTATTAGAGACTATATGATCTACAATATTAACTTTCTCCTTAACAAAAAAGCTGGGGGTGTACAATAACAATGCCTGTTTATTAAGTGATACTATCTCTCTAACTTTAGTTTTGAGGCTATATTTTGTTTTTTTTGGGGGGAAGTCTAGTTCTATTCCAAGCTATGGTAGTCTCCATTGCGTCACATGCATGTGAAGGATGGACATTGAATAAGGAATACTTTAGAAGAATTGATTCATTTGAATTATGGTACTGGAAAATGATATTGAAAATCCCATGGACTGCAAAAGGGCAAATCAATCAGTGTTGGAAGAAGTAAGGCCAGAGTGCTCCTTAGAGGCAAGGATGGTAAGACTTTGTCTTACATACTGTATATAGTCTTGTATAAGCTGAGTTTTTCCAGCACATTTTTAATGCAGTGCTTGTGGTAAAATTAGGTGCCTCGACAGATATTCGGGTCGGCTTATACTCAAATATATATGGTACTTTGGATATATTATCAGGAGAGATCAGTCCCTGGAGAAGGACATCATGTTTGGTAAAGCGGAAGGGCAGTGAAAAAGAGGAAGGCCCTCAACAAGATGGATTGAGACAGAGGCGACATCACTGGGCCCAGTAATTGGAACGATTATGAGGATGGCACGGGACTGGACAGTGTTTCATTCTGTTGTGTATAAGATCACTATGGGTTGGAGCTGACTGGATGACACCTAACAACAACAAGTTAGCACACAAGAGCACTGGTGGTATAGTGGTTGTGCATTGGGCTGCTAACCATAAGGTCAGAAGTTCTAAACCACCAGATTCTCCATGGGAGAAGGATGAGGCTTTCTACTCCTGAAATAACTACAGTCTTGGAAACCCACACAGGCAATTCTACCTTGCCCTATATGGTTTTCACGAGTCTGAATTGACTAGACGTCAGTGAGTTTGGTTCGGATCCAGCGTCCATGGTTGCTATAAAATTAATGAACCTAGTTATTCATTGAAGCAATGGAAATTGAAGTCTCTTTCTGGAAGAAAAATAAAAAACAGCCATTGAAAGCCCTGGGGCACACAGTTCTGCTCAGACACACAGGACTCTCTAGGAGTGGGAATGGAGTCCAGAATGGGCGTCTAGCTGGCCTTCATGGGAGTCTGTAGATGGAGTCCTGGGACTCGCTTGCATCTGGCAACTGGTCTCTTCCATTTTCCCCTTTCCTTTGTGTGTGTCTTCTTTGCAGACGTCCATATCTGAAGCAGAGATGCCTGGTCTTTTACTTTATTTTATGCCCTGAATGGATTTCTCAGGATTTGTTTTGTTAGATCCTAGAGTGCCACAAATTCAAGTTTACTACTTTCTTCAATCACAATTCTTTTGTGAACATTCTAATCTTTCCCTTTCAATTATCTTCTCTTTGGTTATATATCTGGTTCCATTTATCATCGTATTTTCCTTGGCTACAGAGAAGGGCCTGAGAGAATTGTGCCTCTTTGCCTTCATTCGTCCTACATAACATTGTGAGTCTTCACTCTCCTGCAGCTCTGTAATAAATCATGCTGGCTGTCTTCCCATTAGGTGACCCCATGTGACCATTCTGTTTCTCCTTAGTAACCTCTGGGCATTCCTCTTGTTCAGAATATTATTCTTGCAGAACAAGGAAGTCTGTTACCTTTACTATATCCCGAGCTTACAACTGTTTGGCTTTGTATAGCTTGATGTGTTCTTTTAGGAATACACACACACACATACACACACACTATATATATATATATATGTATATATGAGACAGAGAGAGAGAGAGAGCACCGTGGAACCCACCAAGGGTTGACACAGTAGAATATAAGATACATTTATAACTTCATCTGACCTGAATCTGGTGCCGGTGGTTCTGAGACAATGATGAATGTTTCCTGATGAATGCCAGGAATCCTTGTGGGAAAGGCATTTCAAAAACAAGGACAATGGACCAAGCAGTTAAATGTCTTTTTGGACTTGAATCCAGCAAACTTTCATCGTACACCTACTCTGTACTATAAACCACACTAAACTCCGATTTTGTCATCCTACAAATAACCCTCAGGAGATTCTGTAAAGTAAGCATTACTGACACCCCTTTTCACAGGCAGTACAGAAGCTTCCTGGGGCAGAGAGTCAGACATGGACTCAGACCTGAGGTTATCCAACCAAGTCTCGAATCTTTTTCATGTTGCCGCCTGCCGTGGCAGGCTTTGATGCACTGCATTTTAAAAAATTATTTTTAAGAACATACTTTCACATTCTGGATCAGCCATTAAACATGTTGATGGCACTAATAATGCCAGGTTCTTACAGAACATTTTTATGAGAATGGCTCAAAAATTTTAAAAAGTCTTGCACTTGCAGTCTGTAGTGGGCTGAGGCCATGTTCAATGGACCATTCTAATGATGTCCCTTGACTCCCCCGGCCCCTGCTCAGAATTCACGGCTTTACAAGGTAGTTAAAATCTGAAAGTTTTAAGACCTCAGTTGTTATACACCCAAGAAGGATGTAGAACGTTTTCTTGTGAACTGTCTAATGCCAATAAACCTTAGTGTCCCTGGGACTATGGTCTAGGTCCAGTGTCTCATTCCCACAAGGAATCTGGTTATATGTAAGACATTTTTATAATACCGCCTTCTGTCTGCTCTACCACATTCATGGATCTATTTGCCGCAAAGGTGAATGCACTTTTATAAATACCAGCTGTCAAGCATCTATCTAAGATACAAACATTGGTCTCTCCCATCTGGAGGAAAGAGAAGGGATGGCAATTGAAAGACAGAGGGGAAAATTAGTGCAGTGGACTGTTGGGCCTCCTCAGCTTCCACCACCTGCAGACCAGAACTAGATGGTGCCCAACTTCCATTACAGCTGCTCTCAAAAGATCCCATTAGAAGATCCTGGATGGAGGGGCAGAAAAATGCAGACAGGAACTCAAAATTGTAAAAGAGACCAGGTTGACTGGTCATATAGACATAGGTGGGATACTGCCCCCCGACCCCCGCCCCGTGAAGATATCCTTCAGGTTTGGAACGGAACTCACCCCTATGGTAGAAT